TAGTCACAGAAAGAGTTAGCAAAGAAACTGTTCCCTCACTGTAAATGGGATTGCAAGTGGTGCTGGTGGAGGAGTGGCCGATGGAGTTTTGGAGGAAGTCTCGCACGAAATGCGTTTTTGAGAGATAGCAGATGCACGAAACCCTATGTTTTTCCATACAAAGTCCGTCCCCGAACCTCGATGATCTACCTCTGCGGTGCGACGGTTGCGAGACGGTCTCGTGTGTGGTCGGATCATGCTCGGATCGGTCTCGGATCGGTCTCGGATCGGTTCCGCATTGTAAATGGGGTTTCAACTGTTTTTCGTGCATGTGCGGTCGACAGAATTCCATTGTGATTTGCAACTGTAGGATCGTTCCCGCAATGTAAATGGGATTGCAAGTGGTGCTGGTGGATGAGTTGCCGATGGAATTTCATTGTGATTTGCAACTGTAGGATCGTTCCCGCAATGCAAATGGCATTGCAAGTGGTGCTGGTGGAGGAGTTGCCGATGGAGTTTTGAAGGAAGGCTCGCACGAAATGCGTTTTTGAGAGATAGCAGATGCACGAAACCCTATGTTTTTCCATACAAAGTCCGTCCCCGAACCTCGATGATCTACCTCTGCGGTGCGACGGTTGCGAGACGGTCTCGTGTGTGGTCGGATCATGGGCGGATCATGCTCGGATCGGTTCCGCATTGTAAATGGGGTTTCACCTGTTCTTCGTGCATGTGCGGTCGACAGAATTCCATTGTAATTTGCAACTGTAGGATCGTTCCCGCAATGTAAATGGGATTGCAAGTGGTGCTGGTGGATGAGTTGCCGATGGAATTCCATTGTGATTTGCAACTGTAGGATCGTTCCCGCAATGTAAATGGGATTGCAAGTGTTGCTGGTGGATGAGTTGCCGATGGAATTCCATTCTGCTTTGCAACTGTAGGATCGTTCCCGCAATGTAAATGGGATTGCGGTTTGCAGCTCAGTCTTTGCAGACCGCATTGTAGTGGCTGCGTCAAGGTTGCTTCCTGCTTTGGCTGCATGCGTAATACTATTGTCTTTTGCAGCTGGACTTCGTAAATCGCATTGGAGTGGCTGCATGAAGGCTGCGACAGTGATTTGTCAGCAGATTTTCTCCATTTTGGCGCTAGTGATTTTCCTTCTAAAAATCCTTTAAAAAAGTGCTTCAAAATCGTCTTTTTTTCGCTCTGGCGTCGAGATCCGGTTTTGGAGCTACAATTTCCGACGCCGTTGCGCGTAGTTCTATTGTGTTTTGCAACTCAGGCTCTGCAGATCGCATTGTAATGGCTGCGTCAAGGTTGCTTCGTGCTGTGGCTGCATTCGTAATACTATTGTCTTTTGCAGCTGGATCTCGTAAATCGCATTGGAGTGGCTGCATGAAGGCTGCGACAGTGATTTGTCAGCAGATTTTCTCCATTTTGGCACTAGCGATTTTCCTTCTAAAAATCCTTTTAAAAAGTGCTTCAAAATCGTCTTTTTTTTGCTCTGGCGTCGAGATCCGGTTTTGGAGCTACAATTTCCGACGCCGTTGCGCGTAGTTCTATTGTGTTTTGCAACTCAGTCTCTGCAGATCGCATTGTAATGGCTGCATCAAGGTTGCTTCGTGCTGTGGCTGCATTCGTAATACTATTGTCTTTTGCAGCTGGATCTCGTAAATCGTATTGGAGTGGCTGCATGAAGGCTGCGACAGTGATTTGTCAGCAGATTTTCTCCATTTTGGCACTAGCGATTTTCCTTCTAAATCCTTTTAAAAAGTGCTTCAAAATCGTCTTTTTTTTGCTCTGGCGTCGAGATCCGGTTTTGGAGCTACAATTTCCGACGCCGTTGCGCGTAGTTCTATTGTGTTTTGCAACTCAGTCTCCGCAGATCGCATTGGAATGGCTGCGTCAAGGTTGCTTCTTGCTTTGGCTGCATGCGTAATGTCTTTTGCAGCTGGATCTCGTACATCGTCTTGGAGTGGCTGCATGAAGGTTACGAAATGGATTTGTTAGCAGATTTGCTCCATTTTGGCGCTAGTGTTTTTTGGTTGCACGTAGGTTTAGAGCAGTGTGAAGTGTGGGGCGTGAAGAGTGCAGTGTGAAGTGTGAAGTGTGAAGGAAGCAGTGGGAAGTGAGAAGTGTGAAGTGTGGAATGTGAAGTGTGAAGTGTGGAGTGTGAAGTTTAAGTTTGGAGTGCGAAGAGCGCAGTGTGAAGTGTGAAGTGTGAGGTTTGGAGTGTGAAGGAAGCAGTGAGAAGTGAGAAGTGTGAAGTGCGGACTGTGAAGTGTGAAGTGTGGAGTGTGAAGTGTGAAGTGTGGAGTGTGAGGTTTGAAGTTTGGAGTGCGAAGAGTGCAGTGTGAAGTGTGGAGTGTGGAGTGTGAAGACTTTGCTTCGTCTCTCGCTGAAAAAAAACCGCTTGTCGAGGGAAGGACACGGTCGGGACAGATTTTTCTTCGAACTATAGGTCATTTATTTTTGGGAAACTTCCGCCGCCGGCTTGCCCGGGTCTATGTTATGGGGTGTCTGGTATTAGGATATCCTCAAAACAAACATGGCAAGTGTTTGGGGGGTGCGTGGTTGGTTTTACCTTTGATTGCCGTTATCCTAAAATTGCATAAAGATTGCTGCTATCATGGTTCACCGTTTCCCCCTGCGAAGATTGCCAGTTACCTGGTCATATTTAAGCCCGTTTTTAGACGCAACATGGCATGTTCATGAGGTTTAAAACTGCACGTTTATTTTAAAAAAATCTTTGTGGAATCATTAACGTTTTTCACAATATTCAACCACCAAAAATTTGCTGTCTTCAGCACCAGCATGTTTGAGTCTTGCAGTCCGTTCTATATACTTTCGAAGTTATCACTGCGTAATCCGCCTAAATCAAGTAATTAGATGGAATCTTCCATGAATGGGAGCACAAATCAAAACCATCATCCACGAGGGGGCTTACGGATTGTTTCCGGATTTTTACTGGATTTGGGGGAGGAGGCTTACGGATTGTTTACGGCTTTTCACCGGATTTGGGGGAGGCTTGCGGATTGTTTACGAATTTTTACCGGATTTGGGGGAGGAGGCTTACGGATTGTTTACGGATTTTCACCGGATTTGGGGGAGGAGGCTTACGGATTGTTTACGAATTTTTACCGGATTTGGGGGAGGAGGCTTACGGATTGTTTACGGATTTTTACCAGCTTTGGGGGAGGATTGGGGGAAAAGGGCTTGCGGATTGTTTATGGATTGGGACTGGATTTGGGGGAGGAGGCTTACGGATTTGGGGCTGGGGGAGTCTGGGTGCTGGAACCTTGAAGCGACAGCCAGCTTCAGCTTGTGCTCAAGTCCATTGGCATACATACAGCTTGGACATATAGCGTCCTATTTCCATTACAAAATCGATGTAAAGGCATTCATTGCTTGTTGTCACTAGATCCAAGTAATGAGCTGACTTGGGCAACACTGGGCTGAAATGGCTACATTGGATCCAAGTAATGAACTGACTTGGGCAACACTGGGCTGAGATGGCTACTTGGGCTACACTGGACTTGATCAACCAATGTTTGATGTCATTAGTGGCATGTTTGGTTTGATTAGTGGCAAGTTTTTGAACAAATCGTCAATTGAACAAGGTATGCGCTACTCGTGCTACCCTCTTGTCGTGGTTTTTAATATCTTGTCGTGGTATAGATTCCACTGTCGTGGTGTGACCCAACACCTGATAAACAAATACCTAGATAGACAGATAGATAGACAACTGCATCTGCACTACACCACGCTACAACTACAACTTCAATTACAACTACAACTACAACTACACTACCACTACAACTACAACTTCAACTCACTTCAGCTACGAGAACTACAGCTACAACCACAACTACAGCTTCAACTACAACTATAACCTCAACTACAATTCCTACAACTACAATTGCAATTACAAGTGCCATCACAACAACAACTACAACTACAACTACAACTGCAACAACTACTACAACTGCGCCACAACTGCAACTGCAACTAGAGCTGCAACTACAACTACAACAACAACTTCAGCTACACTACAACTACACTCCAACTACTACTACTACTACTACTACTACTACAACTACTACAACTACTACAACTACTACAATTACCACGACACTACACTACAACTACAGTTACAACTACAACTCCAACTCCTACAACTATTGCAACTACCACAATTACTACAAATAAGACAATTACAACTTCAACTACACTACAAGTACAACAACAACAACTACTACTACTACTACTACAACTACAACTACAACTACAACTACAACAACTACTACTCCTCCTCCTCCTACTACTACTACTACGACAACGACAACGACAACGACAACGACAACGACAACGACAACGACAACTACAACTACAACTACTGCGCTACACCACACTACATCCAGGAGTTGTGAGTGAGGTGACCACTGCAAGGATTGCAACCACTCCAAAAAACACAACTCCAACCACCTTTCGGTCCATCAGTGGATTCGCGCTGCCATCCGTGACTCACAACAAAAACATCAAAAACTTAAAGTTCCGCCACTGCCTTGTGCGGTACTACAGGTATACACCTGTATTCTACTACTCATTGTTGAAAAAAATGGTCCAACTTAAGTTGATCATCCCAAATCTCAAAAGTTTACGTGCTGAGCTAGCCACACCGGGAACTGTGGGAATGAACGAATTGTTTCTGTTCATGTTAGCCCCAAATTCGGTATGTTCGGTACGTTTAATTCCCAGCAACCCTGATGATTCAGACCCTTGTCAGGGTTTACATTCCCAGTGCATTGGCCTCTGGCTTCGAATCAGTCGGCCGAGGCTGGCGCCTTGCAGAATGAGTGCTGGATGTCAACGGTTTGAAGTTTCAAGGAGACGATTTGCATGCAATTTTGGGGTCGAAACAACTTCACTTCAAGAAGATAACCTGTGGATATGTGAGGTAGGGATGAGATGGCCAGTTTCATCATTGTCCTTGCATGTGGATGGGCCTTTGGCAAAAAACTTTGCTACCCCGACCTGCCACCACAGTTCGTTCTCGTGCCTGCTGCAAAAGGATCGGACAAGAAGACGTTGTCACTGTCCTGGGATCGCAGCCATCCCGCATGCACATGTCATGGTCTATTCTGTGCGCGGGAAAGCACCCAGGATGGTTGATGGAGTCCCCAAGTCTTGAACCCTGGCCGAAGCTCGAAGGATCTACGCCGAGGGTCTGTAAAAACAACATCAAAGCCCTCCTTCATCACCTCAAACCTGGGCATAGATCAAGGATGCAGTCAAGATGCACAGATCATTAGCCACCAGATTTGACCTCCATGGTCCCTGGTTTCGGATCCCTTTTTAAATCGACACCATCTACCAGTGGATCTTCCCCAGAAATTCAGCCAGGGTGCACTGTGGCCAGGGTGTTCAAAGACATCAAATTGAATCCTTTACCTTGGATTTGCTGACTTCAGAGGGACTCGAGAAATATGAAACTTCGTCCAGCCGTAGATCCCCCAGTCGTGGAGGATTTCCCGTTGGTCTAAAAATCGCCGAGCAAAGCCAGGTGACTCAAATACTCCAGTGACCCTGAAGTGCTCCCAGTCGCCAGTAGGACCCGGGCCGAGGTGCTAAGCACCTGATAGGCCTGGCTCGATGACATCCACTTTTGTAAAAATAATAGGTCAAAGGTAGGGATCAAATCCAGCATGAAAAGAAAAAATGTAGGCAATGTGGGATCGAATTTCCGTCCATATTTGGTTCATGGATGTTCATGTTCCCAAGTATAGGTATAGGAGTTGAAAAAGAAAATAAAACGTGCAGGGTCAAGGTCAGGTTCTGACAACAGATGTTCCAACTTACCAACAAGTGACTTACCCCTCAACAACAGCTCCAAGGTTTCACATGGGCATGGTCAAAATTGGTGCCAAATCGGCAATTACCAGAACATTTGTCAATGGCTGGAACAATACATATTCAAGCAATAAAATATACTTACAATGTACCAATGGACACGCAAGTGGCTGGTCTCTCTTATTAAATTCAAACATCCATTTTGGGGTGGTTTTCATAGTTTTGCCATTCCATGTTCCCCATGTATCCCAACAAAAATGCCCCCATGATGCCACATCCCCAATTGAATTAATTACCCTCCGGTTTCATCAAACATGGCAATAGAAACCCTCCCCATTTATAGGTGGTTTTCCCACTCAAACCTCCATTTAGTTCGGGGATTTCCCAGCCATGTTTGATTCCCGAAGGGAAGTTGAAACGCCTCCTGGTCTAGCGCCAAGACCACCCAATCCAATGCCAGGCGCTTGGCATGACATTCCTGGGGCCACAGGTCCAGAACATCTGGACTTGATTTCAGTGAATAGTAAATTTGGATAAATTTGATACATCAGAATTGACTATCTCAACACACGAGGATATTTTTGAAGGAATCCTACGTGGTACTTTAGTCCTTCTGCATATACAGAAATTCGTACCGTCAGCGAATCAAATGACGATGTCTCGGTACCATCCCTGCGCCTTCGATTCCAGCCACTCTTACGACACCAATTGCCATATACAGCAATCATGGAAGCTCGCTGTGGAAAAAATAGCAATAACAATTGCAAAATACATAAACAGTGTTTTCTGGCAATTTTCTGACAGTGTTCTCTGTAAATCCACTGGTTGAGTCAAGTGACCCAGTTCTGCAAAAAGTCCATGTATGCAGAGTTGGCTGCTGTCAGCAAGACGATGTCCTCCCAGACTCCCAGGCAGGCAACCTCCCTCCCTCATTCACCCCTTGCCGCATCGATATTCAAACATCATCAAAGATCCATTTCTCAGCAACTGTGCACCCGTTCATTTTTTTCAAACTATAAAGCTGGCCACCTGGTGCCTGACATCGTTGCGAATCTTAGATTCCCTCTTTGAAAAGATATCCCGGCAAGAGACCCCAAACAGTGTGGTGGGATTAAAAGGATAATGTATTATAATGTTGATGATTATGCTAATCAATGTGGATGATGATGGCGATGTTGATGTTGATGTTGATGTTGATGTTGATGTTGATGTTGTTGATGATGATGATGATGATAGTGATGATAGTGATGATAGTGATGATAGTGATGATGGTGATGGTGATGATGATGATGATGATGGTGATGGTGATAATGATGATGGTGGTGATGATGATGATGATGATGATGATGATGATGATGATGATGATGATGATGATGATGGTGTGGGTGAGGATGAGGGTGAGGGTGAGGGTGGTGGTGATGATGATGATGATGATGATGGTGGTGGTGGTGATGATGAGATGAAGATGAAGATGATGATGATGATATTGATGCTGATGTTGATGTTGATGTTTTGGAGGAGGAAGATCATGATCTTGAGGAGGAGGAAGATGATGATGTTGAGGAGGAGGAAGATGATGATGTTGAGGAGTAGGATGTTGAGGAGGAAGACCGATCCCAAGACCGGGAAGCACACTTTGTGTGAGCCTGCGCAGTCGAAATGCAGACGGACATTGCACAAGAGCCATTTTGCATCGAAAATTACAGGAAAAGTGGCCGCGGACACCTCCGGGGACATCGTTTTGTGCGAGCCTGCGCAATCGAAATGCAGACGGACATTGCACAAGAGCCGTTTTGTACGGAAATTTACAGGGAAAATGGCCGCGGACACCCCCGGGGACATCGTTTTGTGCGAGCCTGCGCAGTCGAAATGCACATGGACACGGCACAAAAGCCATTTTGTGCGGTAATTTAGAGGGAATGCCTGTCGCAGTCGAAATGCACATGGATATGTCACAAGAGGCATTTTGTGCTTAAATGCACAGGAAAAATGCCGGACGCTTCCGATACCACCTCGGTTCAACACCGGGCCTGAACATCTACTGCTTGGGGAACTATATTTTAGTGAAATCTCGGATTCCAAGCGCTGAAATTCACCCATTCACCCACCATTCACCAAGGTTCACCCGACGGTTCTCCTTGAACTCTGGCTGCAGCGACTTGTCGAGGTAAAGCCCCGCATGTCTTTGAAGCACCAGGTGTCGAGGGATTGGACCGGGAGTGGTATTCAGTACAGCCTCCAAGTCTGTCCCTGGCCAACTGGGAAGATTGGACCCCTTCTTTTGGAGTGGAAAAGGTGACACCTCTCTGACTTCTCTTCTTCATCCCGGAAAAAGGCGCCAAAGATGCCAGAGTCTGCCGAAGATTGGTCTTAATCAAATTCCAACAGGAATAAAAAAAATCGATGAAAAATTCATGAATGAAATGTACGGACTTGTTGCCAGTGTTTATGCAGCCTCCCAATTGCTTAGGAACATCCAGCATTCATCTGGGGATCCACGCGATGAGTAAGAGGAACAAAAACACATATAGCCATGTGGACAAACCCCATACATCTGCTTGTTCCAATGTGCCCGATAAGGGTCACTGGGAAGCTGCTTGAATTGGGTCTTAGATGAGAAAAGTAAATCTCCGATTCCGAATCATCTATATGGGGGGTTCCATAAATTGGTGATCCCCAAAATGGATGGTTTATTATGGAAAATCCTATTAAAATGGATGATTTAGGGGTACCGCCATTTTAGGAAACCTCTGTCCATACAACTGTATTGTGTTGTTCTGCCTTTACCCTGAGCAGCAGTCTGCACCCATCAGTTACAAGTTCATCCCCTCCATTTTAAAACTTCAGCGGTAAGTGGGTCTGTGCAAAAATCGGGAATACCCTAAAATGATATCAACCATGGCCGTTTTAGTGGACAGTGATGATCAACCATGAGACTTCGGGGGTATCCGAACCCTGCCTTTGTCCATGGCCGTTGCGGCCGTCGCGGTCGCAGCCGGCACGTTTCTGCTGGCATCCGTTGCGGCTGCTGTAGAAGCCTCTCCTCAATCCGGGTGGCTGGTATCCAGCTGGAATCACCCCAAAAAGTGAGCAAAAATGAAGATAATGAGTGATCATATGTGATCATGGGTCGCTTATGGTCGCTTTGTCCAGCAAAACCACCATTTGTTTGGGCATTTGCATAAATATCTTACTTGGTTGTACCCCATGTGAGGCCTAAATATGCAAAGTTCGAGATACCATCAGCTACTCAGCTACTTAGCTATATACAGGTTTTGGACCAATCTGCCGAAGGCATTTCAAGTAGGGTTGAAATATGGTCCCAAAATGATGCCCTTGACCACCAAAGCCATGGTCCCTTAAGATCCTTAAGCCCAGAGAGTTCGAACGCTGTTGATTTCAGGGACAAGCACTTGATCCCATCCCACTGCTGCCACTCCTTCTACCCTCATCCATGTCATACTTAAGCTGAACGCCGCTGCCAGGGTTGACAAAGCACAAATGAACCATTTCCAGCCACCCATCAGTCATTGGCCACAGCCAAGGACACGGAAATGCTGCTAGGCCAAGCACCGAGATTCTTTAAGAAGTGTGGGACTCAATTGCAGCAGCAGGTTTTCCATGTGGGCATAGGTCAAAGTTGGATACTCAACATCGTACTAATGACCAACATCTACGGATTCTTGGGTCATGATTGTGGCCGTAACAATGGGCCAACATGGGCCAACATGGGCCAAACACTATGTGTAGATTACTGCATGCATGGCCAATCATACATGTTACACCTTTGGCCGGGTTGTTCATTCCTGCATTTTTATGGCTAAGAATAATCTATACCAAAGCTTAAGATTTGTTTGTTGTACCGCAAAATATCCAAGCCATACCGAAGCTCAGTGACCATCAACTGTCATTCGCGCACAAGGCTGAGGAGCTGCAGACAGCGAAGCAGAAACTGCTGGTGATGGACCGACCCACTTGACTTGTGCTCGATTCACTGAACACTTGGAGGATCATGCCACTTAGTAAGTGGTTGTAAGTTGAAAGTGGTTGATAACCCTGGTCAGTAAGTCCCCTCAGTGGATCCCACTTTTTAATGGGTTGGAATTGACTCAACAGAGTGCCTCACCAGCTACAGCTGTTCCTCCCAAGGAGGTCGCTCCCATTTTCGCAGCAGAGGCGTTCAGAAAGTCAGCGTCCTGGAGCTTCAAAAGCAAAGACGTCAAAGGACATCATGACATCACTATATTCTGGATGTAATTTTCTTCAGGGCATTTTCCGAACAGTTGCAGTCTATGCCACTCAAGTGAGATATTCCACATATGAAATAGACGTCGTTGAAAATCCGACTCCTCTTCCCCTCTTTCAGCTCCAGTTTTCAGGTCCTGCTGGTTCAGTTCCAACAGCTCCGGGTAGAGGCTGGCCATGGCCGTTCGATGCTTCTTCACCACGCACCTCAAAAGACGGCAGCAGCAGCTGCACACTGGAGACCGTACTTCGCGGAGTGTGCTTCATCCGAGGTTGACACTACTGCTCTTAATCCCTTGAAGCAAGTCCGGGGGCCCCATCAATCTCCGCCCTGGAAACTACCTGCTGGATATGTGTATATGTATAGTATAAATATAATTATATATATTTATATATTATATTATATATCTATAATATATATATATATGTATATATATATTATTATATTATATTATATTATATTATGTTATATTATATTATATTATATTATATTATATTATATTATATTATATTATCGTATATTAAATTATCGTATATTAAATTATCTTATATTATATTATCTTATATTATATTATCTTATATTATATTATATTATATTATATTATATTGTATATATATTATATATATACGTATATTCATTCGTTGTGCTTGGGCCACCAAAGATGGTCCTCCAATAGCCCACCACCCACGCCCCTTGATCAGTCCCAAGGCGCTCATCGGCTTTGCAATGGAAGTACTCTTGGCAGTGGGTCTTTGCCACTGATCCCTGCGACAGAATCATGACAGGATCGGATAGAATATCTAGAGGCAGATGGGGTCATTATCTAGATGGGGATGGGACAGAATTGGGCACCAACAAAGAATGGACTTGTTTTGAGCAAGAGAAAGCTTTTGGCAAGTCCCAAGATTCTAAAGGTTTGGGTGGAGTCATCGATTACATGTCGTTCACAGGGCATCCCGGGCATCGGTGAAGGTGGTGTTGGTCCAAAAGTCGTAGAACCTGGGTCTGTCAGGGAAGCGGTTCGGGTCGTTGCCGGCATCAAGGTCACCTGATAAACCGAGAACCCTGGGGACCCACAGGGACCACGTCAGGTGTTTTCGAGTTGGTCACACTGTACCACCCTGAGATCCTATTTGAGAAAGGGTCCCCACCTATGGGACCTTTTGGGATTTGGAATGAACGCTCATTCATTCGCTATTTTGGTGTGAAAGCCATGGTGACATGGTTTTGACCCGACCCATACCCATTCGAACGTCGAAACGTCGAACGTCGAAACGTCGAACACATTTGAACGGCGATACTGAAGGATTTGAAGGAGCATGATGACCCTATCGTGATCCCCCACTAGGCATTGACCAGGTAGCAGATATCTGGGATCTCCGGAGGGCAACAGTTTGCACCACGGCAGCGCAGCCTCTGAGCTTTCTGCGGCTCAACTGATGACTGGATGGTTTGTTGGATAGACATCTGTCTCCAACAAAATCGGAGATCCAAACATTGGGATTCCACCACAAAGTGGGATCTAACTTTACGCAACAAAAAAATGAGGACTTCACTCACCAACAAAAATGGGATTGCACCAGCAGGATAATACGCGACTTGACCAGCCAAAACTTGCGGTCATGGGATATACAGTAGCATGAGGGTAGCTAGCCATGATGCGTATGGGTCAGAATTTCAGGCTTAGACAAAGCAGAAATGGTTTGTCGTTTGAAGGATCCAAATCCATCCTGTTTCGCCGTACCAAGTGTTGATCAATATGTGCTTCTATCAGATTCTATCCAAGTTGGTTTGGCTCCTTTCTCCTCTCCGCCTCAATCGACGGTTTACAGGAAGTCCCTTGAGATGCACCCTGGGTCCCCCCCACAATGCCAGGAAAAATGGGCACATAGATCCGCAAAGCCTCTCCGGTATCGGCGACCATAGAATCGGATAGCTTCTGATCTCTTCAAGCTTCACACAGCAGCCGGAAAATGATGAGAAAGCTCCATGTTTCACAAGAAAATCTTCAGGAAAGCTACAGTAGGCTGGCCAGCTACTGTACTTATCTCTTGGAAATTGGATGTTCCATGCAAAAGGTTTGCACCTTGGTCGCAACAGCTGGCCAGCCTCAGATAGGAAGGCAGCCCACCATACAAAAGTGCCTGGCAGGTTGCCAGATGCCAACGAGGATTGCACTCCATGAAACCAAGAAGATGAAACCAGTTCTAGTTGGGCTGTCACCGAAGATAAGCATTAAGGAACAGGGCACAAATGACATATTTGACAGGATTAATCACCGGGATTGCACCAACAAAAAGGGTGCTTCGGCAACAAAAACTGTGTTCATAGCTGCCCCCTTGAAACATCCTCCTGTCCCTCTACACCAACCATCTAATACAGAGGTGATTTCAAAAGATAACTGGTTTGATGGGATTCATGCCCTTTATTCTGGGCAAAGTTCGTCTGCAAAAGAGGTAAATTTCATGTGAATGGCCCCAGTTTCAGAGTCAACTTTGCAAAAGGTATGCGCTTAAAACCAGAGTCTTTCACTGAGATCAGTAACGGTTTTTGATTGAAATTGCGCGTTTGCTGCTGCAACTTGCTTGCATGGTTCCCATTTTGCGGCTCCTTGTGACTATTATATATTCTCTGTTCATGTCCATCAGAAACTCATGGCCTTATCACCATGCATATCGTCAGTGTGCCAGGTAAATATCGAATTTGGGTTTGCAAACCAGCCCTTGTTTTGTTGGCAAATCTTCCCACTTTGCGCTTGGCAAACATCCGCAGCACCACGGCAGCATCTGAGGCTCCCCGGCTGGGGCTTAACACCAAGTGCTTGGCGCTTCTCAGCCATACCCAATCCGCCAACCAGGCTTGTTTTCCTGCCTAGCGATGATGAAGAAACGGTCACACCATGTTGAGACTCACGGATTGGACTTTGGCTGATAACTTTGTTGGGCAACTGGTCAAGCACCAGTGGATTGTGACATTTCTCTGCTATCAGAATGCCTATATTTACCCCCCTCCACCATTGTACATAGCTGGCATCAGTGGGGTGTGGATTAGGCTTTACAAACAAGATTCTGTTCCCAAATAACCCAAGAAACAAACTATAGTAAGTATACCTTATTCAATTGACTACTAGTTTCTTCCGTTGAATTCCCCAAATCTTCGGGTTCCCTGAACCTTTCCATCCAACACTCATGAGTTCATGGGGGCTTCCCAGCGGGTTCCATCCAACATCTCCACCGTCCCAGCCGCGCCTGGTCCATGTCAGTCACCACCGCTGCGCCCAGCTCGCTGCAGAGACGTCCCACGGTGGGGTGCGAACGCATCGAAGGTTCAGCGATGACCTCGGCAAAGCTGGGAGGACCCATGAGAAGCATGACATACCTATTGAATCCTATTGAATCCTATTGAAGATAGCCAATAAATGCCAATAATCACTTCATAAACCCCAGATTAATAAGATCTATTCTGTCTTATGTCAACCCAAGATCAAATGTTGACAGCGTTTTTTCTTTAAGATGGGGAGGTGCAAAATGTTATATAATTGTCGAAGGAAGTTTAGAAGTCAAACTTCCGACAATATGGACAGATGAAAAACAGAGCAGGGAAGAGGCAGAGAGAAGAGAAAGATTAGAAGAAAGAAGAGTAGAAGAGAAAGAGTAAGAAGAAAGAAGATGCAGATGCGAGAAAAGGTAGGAAAGTCGCGAAACACTGTGTTTTTCCAATGATTTGGGGCTCCGGAGGGTCGAAAAGTAGGCTCGCTAAAGCGGCGGGTGCGAAGCCAGCTGGCCAGATGAGAGATGAAAAATTGCACGCCGTTGTGGCGCGAAGGACATTTCGAAGTCAAAATGTATAAAACACACCATTCTCGGACCACTTTTGGAAGTTGAGATGTCGAAAAAGTGCACGCCATTGTGGCGCGAAGCACATTTCCAAGTCAAAATGTACAAAACACCTGGTGCTCGGACCACTTTTGGAAGTTGCGATGTCGAAAAAGTGCACGCCGTTATGGCGCGAAGCACATTTCCAAGTCAAAATGTACAAAACACCTCAGCGTCGGACCACTTTTGGAAGTTGCGATGTCGAAAAAGTGCACGCCGTTGTGGCGCGAAGCGCATTTCCAAGTCAAAATGTACAAAACACACCATGTACGGACCATTTTTGGAAGTTCAGATGTCGAAAAAGTGCACGCCGTTGTGGCGCGAAGCACATTTTGAAGTCGAAATATTAAAAACACTAGGGGTCCGGACCACTTTTGGAGGCTCAGATGTCGCTTCGCTTCGCTTCACTACACTACATTACACTACACTACAATACACTCCACAACACTACACTACACTACATTACACTACACTACACTCCACAACACGAGAGCGCGTAATAACCGCGATAGAAACAAGAGGTAGTAACCACGATAGAGAACCGATCGTGGAGCCCGATAACACCATTATCGCCAACAAACTATCTTGCACTGCATCGTACTTTTTTCAAAAACTGCGATGGCGTTGTTGACCAGGTCCAGCAGAAGAGCCAAGGTGGGGTAACGGTCCTGCAGCAGGCAGCTGCCACCAAGGCCAACCGTGAAAAAGCGTGAAAGACCGTGAGACACCATGAGAGACCATGAAAGTTTGTGACAGGCCGTGAGAGACCGTGCGAGACCGTGACAAACCGTGCGAGACCATGAGAGACTGTGACCGTGAAAGACCATGAGATACCGTGACAGACTGTGAGAGACCATGACAGACCGTGAGACGCCGTGACAGACCGTGACAGACCGTGAGAGACCGTGAGAGACTGTGACCGTGATGGACCGTGAGAGACCCTGAGAAACTGTGAGAGACCATGACAGACCATGAAAGACCGTGACAGACCATGAGAGACCGTGATGGACCGTGATGGACCGTGAGAGACCCTGAGAGACTGTGAGAGACTGTGACCGTGAGAGCATTCATGAGATGCCGTGACAGACCGTGAGAGACCATGAAAGACAATGATAGACCGTGAGACACCGTGACAACCCCCATGCAATCCCAGCGTTGGTACCTCAGGTAGTTTCAAGACCTCCAACAACCATCAACAGCTGCCTATTTTCAATGAACCATATAATGCTGCGCATGAATCACGTAAGCCAAAAATGAGGCCCCCTCTGAAAAAAATCTTTAACGAACCACGTGGTACCAGAATCATGGGTGGCATGTTATACGCAGCTCCTGTGAAGCATCCAAGTTGAACACGTCGTATGAATCCTGGCGCCACGCAGGAAACCAGGAAGGGATACAAGGTGATAAACCGAACGGCCACAGGTTGAGACAGCAAATCGTGTACCAAGTCAACTCGGGTCGCCACGTCGTCATGTCACGTTGTCTTCCAATGTTTGGCTTGCCACAAACCCTCCTGCTTTGAAGCTGTCCACGGTTTTTTTTTCCGCCCTACTATGTTATACTTGGCATATCTATTGTCTCCTATGGATTCCTATGGTTGCTTCACCTTGCATGTCCACCGTGGTGGCCCTGTCCTGTGACACAGGAGAAGCTGCGGCAACACGTGTGGCATCCTGCCAGCTGCAATGATGAGACAGTGGTGGAAATGGTGGTAGCTAAGCTTCTACAGGTCATGGGAGATCCACATAGATTCACCACGGTAGATTCATAGATTCAGCTGTTAATGTTGGCGGGTTGGTGGTTTCAACCTCTTTGAAAAGAATTGGTAAATCAACCGGCGATCTTGGTCCACTGGCCCTCTCCAGCAGAAGCGCATTAGTAAATCAACCAACCATCCCAAGTATTTGGGAAATGCAAAAATGATTGATTCCATCCACCAGCTAACAACCACTATTTACACTATTATACATTGTTCTCCCCCAGTATTATGGACCAAAACCACCATCAAAGGGTTTTATCCTCCCGTCTCCTGCGAAACCTGCAGGTGCTGCGTGCTGGTGGGCGTCTCCTTTGACAGAATGATGGTACTCTGGGATGCTCACCCCAAGCGTGAGGTAGAACTCAAGGCTGCAGCATCTGCGGGTGTGCGCTTGTGCGCTTGTGTGTGTGTGTCCGCATTTCGAAATCACATGTATTTATCAAATAAGATCATGTTATATACCTATTCTGGGAACCGCTCGGCTGTGGTTCATGCTTTGTGGCGAAACTACCGCTGACCGGGCTTGTCATTCCAAAGACTTGGAACCTCAGTTTAGTTTACTCCAACTCACAGAAGTGTACCCGGCCAAGCTCATCCAAGCTCTACGGGTTCAGATCTCCCAGGTGAGTAGTCACGGCCACTGAGATGCTTCATAGCATTGCCATTAGCAGCTAGGTATCAGAGCTGTCCCTAACCAAATGCGTTGCACCCGAAACTCCTGAGTGGGTCCCAGAGAGCTGGCGATCTGATCCTCCATGGACACCTGGGAGACGTCATGGGTCAAGAGAGGGATGCCCACTCAGACTTGGAACGAATTGACCAGGGTCAATTCGACCTGCCAATTTGGTTGACTGCTACCTGCTTGTCATGCAAAAGGAAGGTGGCTGGTTCAATTTGGCAACTGTTAATGCTCAGCCATGGCTGAGCTGCGCTAAAATGTGCGTTTTGCGAGCGTTAGCGATAACGATCACCAGAACAACTCGTGAGTTGTAACCAAATTCATCAGCGAGTTTAGGCAGTCTGTCAGCTAAACAACCAGCACGTAAAGCCATGAATGTTTCTGGCGAAACACTATTGATACTTTCCTACTTTTCCTCACTTACCCGCCTGCAACTGCAAACTGTCCATCTGTGAATCCTGGGAGACAGGAGAGGCTGGAGAGGCCTCAGTGCCAATGAAACAAGGAATCAATCAAAGAGACCGCTTCTTCCAACTGCATCTGCTGGGAAAAAGATGACGCTCCACACCCAGCGTTCAGTAAACCTCACCAAGCACTGCTAACCATGCTTCAATGTAGCTCTCGGGTTTGGTAACACATCTGTGTTCAGTAGCAATCCTGCTGAGCCCGACAAATCCTAACATGCAATGCCAACTTTGATCGATAGAATAATTGGGATAGCAGGCTCAACCAGCTAATCACAATATTTACGTGGTTGAGTTTACTTTCAACTGAAGAATTAACAAACTCACAGCTAGCCAGCATCACCACTTGGCTGGCGTTGATGGCAGCAATTCTCAAGCTGCCAAGGGATGAAGCGGCCATGCAACCACTGATTGAAAAGGTCGCAAGCTTTTGTCCACTGAAAGTGCCTGTGCGGCTCGTTCTGCAGCACTTTCTGTCCAACCTAGGATCGTCACAAGCTGCCAACACGGCAGGAAAACTGACAAGTATAGGCGTGAGTCTCAGCGTTTGAAGATCAGACAGATGGATAGGTCTGCATTGAATTAGTCCTGTAGGAGGTTGCTCGAGCAAGATCGTTGTTCCAGTTGGAAAAAATCTTGGGACTGATTGGAGTCAAGGCAACGGGTGGAGGACTCCAACCAGTTCAAAAAGAGTCTTGGTTTCAAGAAAGGTCTTGGGAGAAAGATCTTTTGGACAAACGTTGTTGGGCGAGTTGGAGAAAAGTCTCGGAAGCCGCTGAACAAATCTATTTCGACCGGTTGCGCCATGTGCTGAAAGGTCTTTGGGCCACTTGGTAAAAGGATACTTGGGCACAAGTGGAAAAGGTTTGACAATGCCTAGTACTAATTCCTCTGACAAGTATCGAAGAAACTAACCAAAAAACAAAGAAGCTATCAAGACGGTTGATATCGTGAACGGCAAAGTTGTAAAAACGTGCGCACCAGCCTCGCAATGGCTTTGCCGGCAATCTTCAGAAGCCACAGACGCAATCCCCGTTGGCTTTGGCGGCGGCCCCGACAACCATTTCTCCAACAGCACGCGCGCAGCCATGTCGCCACCCAGGATGTCTGGCAAATTCTTTCTCAAAATGTTTGTGAATGTGTACACATGATGGCATTGTGGTTTGCCGTTATTATATTTATTATATATATATATGTATATACTCGTATATGTCGAAACGCGCAGGTTTGATCGAGCCTGGGCATGCTAAGCCTTAAGAATTCTCAACCTCTAGCCTCCACAACTTCATTCAGGTGTGATTCACTTAGCAGCCAAAAGAGGGCAGCAGCAAACAACGTCTCTGACATACAGGGCAAAGCAGGGCACTACCTGAACCTGATACCATCGAATAATATTCTTGATGCTTCAACTGCTACTGATTGTCTCAGCACCCGGCGCAAAGAGGAGTATAGTCTTCCAGCCTGGGACCACTTGGAGAAGGCTCACAGAACCACTTCGAGAAAGCGCATGGCATCAGTTGGAGAAAGGTTACTGGATCAGTTGGAGAAAGATTACTGGATC